GCAAAACCTGTGGGGAAAACAGTGAAAGGAAAAATCTGTTGTTTTTTTTTCATCCTCACACTGGGTGCAACTTTCTCTTTATGGATATACCAGGAAGTGTATTTCTTTCCCAGAGGCACTTTGGGCTGACATATAATATAGTCGTGCTCTGTAAGGATCAGTATAGAGGCAAGTGTCTTTGGTGCAGCAAGTTCCAGTCTTTCCAGGAATGGATGCTGTTGCGTTTTTAAGAGTCTTTGGACATAAGTTACTGATTTATAATCTCAAGTATATGATAAATAACCATAGCAAGCTTATGTGTGTGTGTGCATTGATCTATTAATCATTGACCACTTAGGTTTCCCCAGAGACCATTACATTACTCAAACAGGAAGGGGTGAAACCTTTTTCCAGTGTTCCTAATCCAGTGCTTTGCTCATCAGTTGGCATAACACGATGACAAATGAAACCTCAGTGTGTTCTGTTGTAGCAAATAGCCTTTACTTTGCCAGATACTCTATGAAGGAGGTAGCCTCACACATCATGTTATCTTATATCTGGTGCATTAGTATGTCTACCAGAGACTAGGTGTTTCTAACTCTGTGAAAATGTAAAGTTTAATTCAATGATATCCATTTTATTTATAGAAACTGGAGTTTTGTTACTTGGCTGAAAGAATAGGATTTTATGACCTACCTTTAGGATTAAAGCTTCTCTCATGTTGCTTCAGTGAACTTAAAAAACAGTTTCTTGTCCTTCTGCATCTAAATATTACAATAAATATTTTTATCTGGAAATAGCCATTTTATTCAGTGTGGTGTAGGGGATTATGATACCAAGGAGCCATGGACATCTTGCAGAAATACATATCTTCAGCATATTTCCGTTGTGAATTCTGGAAGCTTTGTTGATTTGGATGAGTTTTAGCTTTTTACATGTACCTAAGAAATCCAAAGAAAACAAAGTATTAACATTTGTGATCCTTTAGGCGTGTTGATAATTTCTCAATCTCAGCCTATCATTTATTCTTTTTGTAGAGATTTTTTAAAACTATTTTAACAAACTGTTTTGTATTCTGTTACGTTTTAATAAATGAAACCCAAAAAATGATTGTAGTTTCTCTCATAGGAAATACTTTGTGTAAATTGTGTTTCCAAGCACACTTTTATATTTTGTCATAGTATAAAATAACTCGTATAAAGAATCACATTGTAATTTTTTTCCTTTTTTGTATTGTCACTAATGTTCTGTACTAGTTAAAATAGAAAAGATTCTTTTTATTATAAGGAACCTGAATTGGTAGCTGCTTTGCATGCAGAACATACTGGCTTCAATGGGAGTATTGCTCATGGAATGATTGCAGAACTAGGTCCTGAAATTACCTTGCCAGCTAATGATAAAATCACATGCAGGCCACAGGGGTTTTTGTGGAATAAATATAAGAGTGGAACAATATACTGTACACATTATACCAGTAATTTAAAGCATATTCAGGACAAAGAGAGAGTTCCTAGTGCAGGCAGCATCATAGAGATTTGCTGTATCTGATAAAGATTAGGTTTCTCAGCTCATAATACCATACTATTACTTTTCTTTTGTTAGTCTTTCAACACCTACACTCATGCATTGACACAATATCAAGTAGGAAGAGGAAGAATAGCCTTGTATTTAAGTACTGAACAGGGATTAAAGAAATTTCGGTTCTTTTCCCTGGCTCTGCCAGAGACTTTTGTGACCGTGTACAAGTTACTTATTATTTTCATGCCTCTATTCTTGATCTGTGAAATGGTGATTTTATTTTATTTCTTTTCTTTTCTCTTTTTTGTTATTACCCCTCAGCCCTAAATGCTTTCTTGCTGGCTTCTTTGCACTTTATCTTCCAGGTTTGCTGCTTGAGTTCTAGGGATCTGCAATGGTCCCAGTTGCTTAGGGATAGGAATTGCCTGGCTGATGTCAGTGCTTCCAAAATCAGGGCAGGCAGTGGCTGGAATTAGCCATATAAACACTTGGAAAGATGGCTTGCTGTATTACAGTTAAGTAGTTTCATTATTTGTGAATAGGAGTATGTGTCATTTTACTTGGTGTAA